GGGCACGAAATTTTTATACTTGGCGGGAAAAGTGATGTGAATAAATGGTTTTTTAAAAAAAAAAAGTAATTTGGGAGTCGCCATCGGCCTTTTGGATCAGGTAGTTCGAATACCTAAAAATCATCTTTTAAAAGAGTTTTTAAGAAAACATCGATTAAAAGATAAACTGATCTGCGTTTTAACCAAAAATTCATTCTTTTTAATAATAAAAGGGATTCGTGGTCGGTTACGTTTAGGGAATGATTAACACCCCTACAACGCCCAAAATTGGTACTTTTTAATTATAAATTATCTCTATTATTTTAAATTTAAAAATTAAAAGATATATTTAATTCATAATTATGTTATTTCAAATAATTTAAAGAAAATATATTAATATGTATAAATAAAATATTTATTTATTTAGAAATATCAGAAAAGGGCTTCTAGGTGCATTAGGACAGCTCTTTTCTTCGATATTAATAAATAAAAAACTAAAAAAACATTTTTTCTAAAAAATAATTAATATATAATTTATAAAAACAGGATATTTATTTATTTAAGAATATCAGAAAAGAACTTCTAGGTGCTTTAAGACAGCTATTTTCTTCGATATTAATAAATAAAAAAAATGTAATAATTTTTCATAAAAATGATTTAAATAAAAATAAATTATAATTTTTATAATATTTAATTTAAATATATTTATAAGACTAAGATAATAATAAAATAATAATTAAAGCCATAATTAAAATATAAAAGTGATAACAAAATAATATTGTAATAATGATCAAAATAAAAGAAATTAAAATTATAAAACTAAATATAAAGTATCAAAAATAAAGATAATAATTCGAAATATTATGAAAGATAATGGTTAATAGTGTAATTTAACCTAATTAATTAATTTTGGGATATAAATATAAATTAATAAAATTATAAGGGATTAAATCGGTTATTTACCCTAAAGTATGTAATTATGCTGAAAAGGACTAAAATAAATAAAATTAAAATTAAAGAACCGAATTAAAAGGATTATAAATTAATTTAGTGACTAAAATGTAAGGATTACAAACTAGGATGGCTGCGGGCAGGGTTTACCCATGATGAAAATTACACGCACACCCCTCCCCCTAAACGACGTCGTATGGCGAAGGGTATATAAATACCCAAATGGCTGGCCCTACGGGCCAGCATCTTCATTCTCTTCTTTCCTCTTCTCTCTCTATATGAGAGAGAAGAAAAACTCTCTCACCTCTCTCTAGTTTTTTGTCGCCGACCACCACCAATGGCGCCGATCACCACCGTCGGCCGCCACCAACGGTGGCCGGAATTCCCAAATTACCCTAGAGTGTGGATCTCGACCTCCTAAGGCCGAATATAGCCTTCGCTTGTCCTAAAACGCTTTAGATCGTTCTAGATCTAAAATAAATCGAAGGTTTTACCTTCGGTTTTACAATGATTCCGGTGGTTCCAAACGGTTTAGAGGCTTTTATGATGGTAAGATGCTCATTTTCCTCTTCTTTCTGGTTTTTGGGTGTCGATTTGTTCTCGTATTCTGCTCTCTGTTTGGTTCACTGTTCTTGCCGTGGCTTTCTGTTTGTGTGTTGGTTGCCCCTCTGTTTTGGTTATCTCCGATTCTTCCTCCCTCCTATTTATTTTGCAGGTGAGTCGAGGCTTTTATAGCCTCGATGAAACATTCCTCGGACCGGTCACATAAGGGTTTCCCCGTGAGTCACCATAGCTATGGTGGTGACTCACCATAGAGCTCGACGTGGGGTGTCGGTGTTGTGGCAACAGAGCTTCTGGAGGCTTCTTCGAGGTGGCTTCGTGGCACTGGTGGAGTGTCGGCAACGGACGTGTGGCCTTCTGGAATCAACGGCGGCGGCTGAGGACTTTTGGAGGCGGCAGATGATAACCTAGGGTTAGGAAACCCTAGGGCTTCCTTTGCTGGAACCATCTGGGCCGTTGGATCAAAGCCAGATCCAACGGCTGTGAGTTGAGGCAGCTGGCTGCTGGGATGATGAAACCCTAGCTGAAAACCCTAAATGTTTTAGGGTTTTCCCCTGGTTTGGGCCAACTGTAAATGGGCTTTGTAAATGGGTTTAGGGTTATGGGCTTCTGATATATTTGGGCTTGTAATAATTATTTAATAATAATATAATATATATAATATAATAATAATATTTAATAATAATAAAAATAATTTTAATAATAATTTAAGTAAAATGAAAAATTGGTGTTTACAATAAGTATGGTGAAGCGTCACAGACCAATTGCGAGCTATAAGACTCCGAATATTTCATTCCAAGTAAATGTGGTGATGAGGAGTTATTTTTTTTTCTTGGGGGTTCATCTTGTAATTTTAATATACGACTTTGTTTGAGTATTTTTCTTTAAACGAGCTCATCAAACAAAATTGTTCTTCAAATGAGCTCATCAAACCAAAATATTATTTTTTTAATTTGAGTCAATAATCACTTTTCAAATAGTATTTTAGGGAGAGAAAAAAAAACTTCCCTAAATATTTACAAACGGTCCCTAATCGCATCGTTGGTCCTCCTCATGATTAGGGTCAAAAATAATACAGTAACTACTTGCAAAGGTTGTGTGCGACCCACGCATGTTCTATCAGTAGGTGAAAAAAAGAAAAATGAACATATGAAATCCTAGTAGTAAAACATGGTTGAATTAGGGGTATGTAGATTTGAATATCGGGTCTAATCTAAAAATGTATATATTTAAAAAAATTATACTTAAAATAGTGATTTGTATCTGATTCAAGAAATTAGATATCCGATTCAAAAAATTACTATTTCAATTAGAATTAGGGGTATGTAGATTTGAATATCGAATCTGATCTAAAAATTTAAATATTTTTAAAAAATTATACTTAAAATAGTAATCTGTATTCGGTTCAAAAAAATTGAATATTCGAATTTTTTAATATTCGAATCCGAATTTAATTTGACAAAAATAATTATATATTTTATATTTTGTGATTTAGTATAACTTATTCCATACCTCTTATTTATATATATATATATATATATATATATATATATATATATATATTTAATTACTCACAAACAATAAATAATTAAATATCCTAATTTTATTGGGTTAAAGCTTTAATAGGTTGATGGATTATTCATTTATTTGGCTAAACAGTATCTAAAATTTAAAAAATCAATTTTTTTCAGATTTTTAAATAGTCTTGAACTTTATCCGATCCGTATCTAATCTGATTATTCAAAAAAATTCAAATATTCAATCTACATTATCCAAAAAAACAGATTTGATATCTGATTGAATCGGCAAATCAGATCATATCTTTTTGCACACAGAATGGTGCAAAACCCGGGATTAGGTAATTGAAACGGGTACAAGGTATGCCCCTGCTCTGCTCTCTTGAACATTCCTAGATTTCAATAAAGTATTTTTGCCATTGTTCCAAAGCTAACTTCTTCATGGTATTCGATAAATGATGGATGCTAGTGGGCGCGAACGCTGGATTCCTAAAAATGAACAGCATAGAGGAAATAAATTAGGTATTTTTCTACATTTTTACTGATATTCCAATTATGAGTGTCTTCCATTTTTTCTTCATCATAGGTATCTGATTTATTTATCAGCTATTTTAAATCGGATTTTACATATACCTATTACAGAAACCATCCTCTCAACCTAATTTGTTCCTTTAACAAACACCAGGATTCAAACTTCTTGATCCACACAACAAATCAGGGCTGAAATGAGTCGGTCAAAGGAGGAAGTGCTTGAGAAAGAAGAGGAACACTTGCCCCCCCACCACACACAGTTACACAAGGTGCATGGGAGTCTTTCATCTGCTCGGATAAAAGACCTTGAGGCAGAATCGGAAATGCAGCTCGAGAGAAAAACTCGAGCCATTTCAGATTCTGTAATTGACATAAAAAAGATAAAGACATGGTAAGCATGACTGAGGATCAGAAGAGAGTTCTGCAGGTGAAAGGTTTGAGATCTAAATTTGAAGAGAACAATGGAAGAAAAAGGGGTTGACACAGAACTCCAGGAAACACATGCAAGTTCAGAGAATGGAACTTCTTCCCAACAGCCCTAGTGCTGAAGGCCATAATCTGCAGGAGCTGAATTCGTTACAGACCTAAAGAAATGCATTGGTGTTGCAACTTGAGAGAGCAGAAAGAAAATTCATCAAAAAGATCAAATGAAACGGAGAACCAGAAGTATGAACTAGAAAACCAAATTGCCAATCAGCAGAGAGAATAGAAGAGGGGGAGATATAAGAAGCTGGCCGAGGATTAAAAAAAAAGTTTTTTTTTTGTGGGATTGGGGGGTCGCTTATACCTACAGTGCAAGGCAAATCTTTAAGTTGCAGAAAGAGAGATGGAAGAAACATAAGGAGAATTCCATAGAAACAATTAATCTGATCTGAACCAAAAGATTGAGGACCTTCAAAGAGATCTGAAAGTAAGAGGCGAAGAGAAAAATGACTTCGTCAACTCATCAGAGAATGCTAAAAGAACAAGAAATGCATTTAACGAGCTATTCCAGGAGTACAAACAACTTGAAACTTCATTCTAGGACTGCATGGCAATTATTGAAGTCAGAGAACAGAAGATGCAAGAAATGGCTGGAGAGCACAATAAGAAGGTTCAATTTAATGGTCAAATGGTGGCCGATTTGGAGCAGAGTATTGAAGACATGAAAAGAGACTTAGAAATGAAATGAGAGGAGCTCAGTACATTGGTGGAGAAAGTTCAGTTTGCATATGTATTATTTTTCACTTATTTCATTTTTCTTCTCACTCAAAAGTAGGGCTGTCGATGTAAAACCATCCCAAGAAAATGTTTAGTTAGCATATGTCCCATAACCCTTGGTTGCATGTACTTATTAGAAAAATTATCACAAACAGAACTTGGAAACAGAATTTAAAATTCGCTAGAAAAGAAATCTATCGGAATGTGCATCGGCTGCATCATTTCTTAATAAATATACTATTTTCTGATAACCCTCTGAAAATACTTATTGGCAAAAGCACATACGAATACGAAAACTGTAAACCTAAGGCAAACGAACACGACGGCTATAAGTGAGGAAGAAATATAAAAAAAGCTAAAAGTGAATGTGAACACAATTGACCAAACTCTTGGAAGTTCCTTCAGTCAGATATCCTTAACTCAACTCCGAGTACATCCTTTACCAACTCGTATGTGACGAATGCAATTGCTATCGATGGAACCACCTAAAGAAAAAGGGGAAATACTTATTATGCAGTCCGTGCACATAGGAAAGTTGATTGCCGAGACTAAGATGTTACAATAACCTTCACTGAATTTGGAACCAAACCCTTGTATAATGCTCCAAAACCTTCATACCGAACTGTTTTCCTGAATGCGTCAACCATACCAGTATATTCAACACGGACCTTACTCTTCCCATCACCGGTGACAACTGAGGCAGCATCTTTCCAGCCCACCATCTGCAGCCTACGCCGAATGACATCAAGAGGATAAGCAACTGTTTGGCCTACAGTTCCAGCAGCAGCCCCACATGCAAGCCTTGTTGTGACACCTAATTCAGAGTCCTCAACCAGCCCAAATGGTTTGCTTTTGATCAACCAATCTTTCAGAGATTCGTAAACCGCAAAGTTAAGACCCACATAGGGTACCTATAAAAACCATTCATGCTTTAGCATACAGACATAAGGAGAATGATCCATAATCAAAAGTCAAAAGAGATGCAAAGTCAATGGAACAGACATTTGACTTCATTGTTGACTAATGAACAGCTTGTGCAATTAGGAAACCAACACACAAGCACTAATTTTGGGAGAACAGAAACAGAATTTATCATCCTAGAAGATGTCTACATCCATCTGAACAGATCCCTAAAGTGAAATAAACAGGAAATAACGCAGGTATCAAGACCATATTTGTTTTACTTACAACTCCTATTACAGATGGTAACCAGCCTTTGTACAAAGCACGGGGTCCTTCTTCCCTTAATACTGTTGAAAGAGCATGAAAGATTCCTCTATACTGGCGAGGTGACTTCTCAGTCTGCAAATGTATAACACATGGACATTATCCACCAAAGTGATAACGGGTAGCAAGCCTGTCCCCCCGGGAAAAAGATAGTTGATTCAACGTAAGTCATATCAATTAAGGTCAGAAATATCTCAACAAATACCTGGACTGTTAGACGACCTCGTACCATATCCATTGGATAAGTAGCTGACATGGCAATAATTCCAGCACACGCGCCAGCTCCAAGGCGTAGAACTGGAGTGAGTTGCGCATCCTCTTCAAGTCAAAGTTAAATCAAGAAAGAAATAAGTAAACATGCTATGAAGAACAGCATAATTACTACAGATGGCAAACTCATCTTATGCCAATCAAGGCCATAAAACGGATTTTGCTTTTCCCCATTCAACACTATTCTAGAGTTTTATGAATTAGTTTAAGGAAGATAATAGCACTAAAGGAACCACTACAAGATTCATTCACATACTTTACTGGTACCATATGCAGACAGAAACACAATGCATAGCCTTTGTCAACACCATCCAGTGCACTTTTTTCAACACACAGTTCATTAGCAGGAAAACTTTGCCTCAATGATTGCATGACAGACAACAAAATTGAATCATCCCAATCAGCTTCAAATCTAAAGAACATTTACAAGTGTAATGCTACTATAAAGACATACCATTTCCTGATTGCTGCCGGTAAAGGTATAAAATCCCCCTGTATTCAGAAAGAAACAAAGAGGAAGCTATTAGTTCAGACTTCGTACTGTGATAACAACTGAAGGGTAATAGTGAAGAAAGGAATTGCAAAGGCTTACTTAGAGGCTTCCTCATAGCTGAAAAACTTCACTGCTGAGTTTGGAATAATCCGAGCACAATTGGTACCATTGCCTTTAAACATTCCCCTGAAACCCTCAGTTCTCCATATAAATTTCAAACCCTGTATCGTTCCATTGTACTTTATACTATGCGGATTCTGAACCTGCAGGCTCAAAAAAAGGAAACAACTAATACACAATACAGATACTCTACGGAACATACAGCACAAGTAAAGTTCTAATTATCTCGATCACTAACAAAACTGAGAATAGATAATGTGTTGAATCTTCACCCTAGGAAGAATGATGAAATAAATAGTGAACTGGGAATTGGCTATAGCCTAATAGCATTACAAAAAAAAAAATGAGAAACTAATGGAGAAAGACTGAATGATGATGGTAAAAAAACTACCTGGAGTAAAATTTTTAATCTTTCTAGGCGCTACGTGACCTGAAATAGATACAACACACATTCAGTAAAGCAAACTGGATATGGAAATGGAAATGGAAATGGAAAGTCAGGCATAATCCAACACGATACAGAGAAAAAAAATATTCCACGAACATAGCAGAGAGTGCAAACAGGTCAAATGAAGAAAATCATCCAAATGTCAACAGGATAATATTTCTCCCACAGATCTTCCATAAGGTTCCCACCAATTCCAGGACAACAAAAGTATTTTGGTTTAGCCCATTCAATCTTCACCTATCAACATCAAAAAAATCAATCCTCCCCCAGGCAACAGCAGTTAGCATCAAATTTCTCCAAGCATCAAAAGCCAACATGGTAAACACCTCAGACGTTTAACAACCATATCTCTTAGTGGGAGTCGAAATATACGAAAAGCGGGGAACCATATCCAAAATGCATCACAACTTATTAATATACTAAAACTTTTCCCCTGAAAAATTATTGACGTTAAACTATTACTCTGTGACAGATTAATTGTTAATTTAAACAAACATTTTGCATCTACGAGAATTTCCACATCATTAACAATAAATACCAAACAGTGATTCATATCGATATCATCCCTTTCTAAGAAGTACAAAGGAGGAAGAGATCTCAATACAATATTTATATAATCAGAGTATCAATGGTTAAAAAAAAAGAATCAAAACCCTAAGAGTTGCAACAGAGAATTAAAAATACAGAAAAAAACATTTTTATCATAAAAAATAAAAGTAATTGAATTTTAACAATAAATGCATATTTTCTAGGATTCCACACAATAGATGAAAAAGAAGAATACTTTGTTAATTTCTCAATCCTCAAAAAGAACAAGTTCCTTAAAAAACACTGCTTTCCAAAACAAGGAAATGAAATGGATTTATGAAAAAATCACATCATTTAAATGCTTTCTACAAGTGGAAATTATAAAACTGAGCTGAACAAGAAAAAACGAGGACCGAAAAGAAAGCACTTTTATTTTTAGATGAAGTAACTAGAGGAAGATAAAAACATTCGGAACAATGTATAAAGATTATCAAACCACTCGAAGATTAAAAAAAATGAAAAAAAAATGTGGATCTTAAGAAACAAAGGGACATACACTCCACCAGCGACGCCACCAGCAACAAGAGACTTGCAAATACTAAGGAACGCGTGGCTTGGCGGTTTAACTCCTTCTCTAGCCATCTTGGCTTCTTCCGCCAGATTCACGATCGTTGAAACAGCCGACTCGCTCCTTTTCACATCCTCAGACGCCATTGTTTTGGGAAGAAATAATTATTAAATTAAATTAAAAAAAAGAGCAACCCAGATATGTATTATCGGAACCCTAGGGGTATCCGGTCAAAATATGGGATTGACCAGACTCCGGTGATCGGAGAAGAAGTGATCCTCTTTCCCGTGATTACAGAAATGAGTGAAAGTGAGCAAGCATTGGCTAAGGGGCCAATAAGCAAAACAAATAAAAAAGGCTGTTTGGATGAAAATATAAGAAAAGGGACTTTGCCCAAAAAAAGAAATTTCCATATAGAGACATTGCCTCTCTTCTTATTCTACAACTAACCCTCGTTTAGGGATGAGCATGGTTTTCATAACCGGACCGGTTAGTAGATCGATTAACGAACCGATTATGCTATCGGTTCACTGATTCAATCGATTGAATCGGTTTGACTGGTCAGAAGAATCGGACGACGTCATAATTATTTAAAAAATTAAATAAAAATACCAAAAATATTTAATAAAAAATAATTTTTTATATCACAAGTCATATTCAAAGCAAGTCATAACATATATAAGTTAAAAACTATAAAATCAAGTGAAACAAAATTATTCAAATTAACTACAACATAATATTTAAGGTAAAACATATTAAATAATAAATATAATTATATAACTATAATTAAAAAATAAATTTGGGGTTAAAAAATCATAACAAAATGATATTGTTTGGTTTAATTTTTTTAAAAAAACAATCTCATATGGCTAAGAAACATAGAAGAGCATCCCAAAAGTCTAAAGAGAAAATATGAGAACAAAACAATCTCACATTGCTAAGAAACATAGAAGCGCATTACAACTAACTTCTATAAATAATAGAGGTAATTTGGCATTCAAAATCATGGAGCATTTTGGTGAGCATTGAGTGAACTATTCTTTCACTTCAATCAAGCTCGAATTTTAGAATTCAATCGAGCTTCTAATTTTTTTTTAAGTTCAAGCCTTTTTGAGTTCAAGTTTCAGTATTATATTTCGAGTTTGAGTTGAACTTGATAATTTTTAGCTTGTGAGTTTGAGTTGAGTTGAGCTTACTTTTAAAGTTTTCAAGTTCGAGTCTAGCTCAGCAATACTAGAGTTCGACTTTGCTCGTTTAACAAACGACGTTGTTTGGTTTTAAAAAAAAAAATCCTAGTTTTTCCCGATTTTTCCCGGTTTTTTCTGGTTTTCAGCCGGCCCGATTCGAACGGTTCAACGGTTCTGGCCGGTTTACTAATAGCGGTTCAACCGATTTAGATTAAATCGGACAAAATAACGATTCTCGATTGAACCGGTTGAACCGGCCGATCCAGTCCGATTTTTAAAACAGAGGGGATGAGTATCAGGCCCAATAAAAAAGTTTCAAAATATTTTTTGTAGTTTTCCTAATTTTATCATTTTGTCCTTATTAATTCTAATAAGTTTAAATTACAGATTTGATTTTAATGGACATAAGCGGAACTAATATTTATTATGTGTGTTAATTAACACCCCGAAATTTTCAAAAAATAATTGACTTAAGGGTCATAATTTCCTTATAATAGACTAAAATTATTATTTTTGCCTATACCGTATTTTTTTATCAATTTAACACTTAAAGTTATTTAATTGCATCATTTTATATTTTTTTCCTAACTTAAAACCTTAAATTATAAATTCTAAATTAAGATTTATACTTTAGAGTTTATGATTTAGAGGTAATAGGGTTATGGTTTAGGTTTTATAATTTATAGTTTAAGTTAGGGATAGGGTATAGAATGATGCAGTTAAACAACTTCGAGTGTTAAATTGATGCAGGAAATATGATAAGAGATGAAAGTAATAATTAAATCTACTACAAGGACAAAAATTACCTAAAAAATCTATATAAATTTAATATATGCAATATAAAAATTGATACTTCATCCAAAAAAATATTACACCCTTCAAATAAAAAAATAGGTCCACTTTTTTTAAAAAAAAGCCTAATAATAAAAATTTTAAAATTTACCTTTACTACATAAAAAAAAAAAGTTAACACCCAATTTTTCTAAATATTTTATTTTTTAAAATTTAACTCTAACCCATCTTTACCCTCACTTTAACCTTACCATTTTATTTATAAAATATTTAATAATAATAAATTTAAAACCACCTTCTCAAGTTTTCAATCCATAACACTCATCCTTCTCTTGCACAAAATTTTCTTTTCTCTAAGAACCATAACCCACAGTCTTCATCATTTGGTAGAATAATATTATTTTTAGATTAATAATTTTTAATAACTTTTAAGGAAAAAGACGAATCACGTCATATTCTAAAATTGAGGTAAAATTAATTAAACTTTATTATTGTTTTCTTTGATCTTTCAGTTTTTCAATATTTTTAAAACTATTATTTGATAGGATGATTCTTCTACGTCGTTAAAATTATAAAGTATTCAATATATAATTATAGATTATTTAAAATTTCAAAGGTAAATTATTTAAGGGTAAACTATACTATTGACCACTCAATTGTTTAGTCCTTTTTATTTTTACCATCGATCTTTTAATTTTATCAATTAAACCACTTAACTATTTAATTATATTCAATTAAGCTACCCACCGTTAATATTTAACAGAAGTGCCAACGTTGCAGTTAATAAAATTAGTATAATTATATATTTAATCTTCAATACTTATATATTCTATCAATTTGGTCATAATTTTAATTTAATTTTATAAGTTTAATTCTCTAATCAAATTGTGACATGTGTCAACATTTTATTGAAGATTT